GAACTCTACACTCTCAAATCGATTGTTTGTTGCTGTTGCTGTTTTGCTTCTGTTTGTTTGTTACTTCTGTTCATGAAGTTTTGTTGGGTGTGTTTGGTAATGTTTACGTTTTCAGTTTATATTTACAAAAATTTTAGGTGCCGTTTGGTAACACTTACGTTTTCAGTTTTCTGTTTATATTTACAAAAATTTTAAAAACTCAAATAAAAACTTGTTTGGTAAATTTTTAATTTATAAATCAGTGATCTCAGTTTATAAATTTGGCCAAAAAATGTAAACTTAAAAAATGTGTTTCCGTTTTAAGTTTTGAGTTTTTTTTTTTTTACCACCCAACACTAGCCACCATGTGACACCTCGAACGTTTAGTCAAGTCCATATAAATATTTATATTTATATATAATTATGGTTGCACGTGATAATAGATTATTACATGAATAAATGTATAAATCTAGAATGGCGTTGGGTTATTAATTAGGGATTATTATTTGAGGCTAACTATAAAATTTATAGTACAAATAAAAATAAAAATAAAAATAAAAAGGAAGAAAAAAAAAAGAGAGGGAATAAATAATAATATAAATAATAACAATAATGGGTATGGTAATAAAATAAATAATTAATTTTCTGTTGGTATGTGTTAATGTGTAATTTAATTAAAAAAATTAATTTACTTATATAATTATATTAAAATATTGGGTCAAATGTACTGTCAAAACGGTCGATGTGAGGCATCTTGAACCTGTCCGGCAGTGTCACAACTGCGTTGGTGTACCCGTCCTCAATGTCCAGGATGGACTTTACCCCTTGGGATTTCTTGAACAACTTTTCAAGCTTGCTCAACTTCAACGCTGTAAGGTCTACCTCGAACTCAAAGGGAGAGTCCGATGGGTTAATTGGTACTTTAGACAGCTGGGGTAAGATTGGGGGCGGAGCCGGCCCTGTCAGAATTTCCGTACCTTCTTGGACATTTGGCATCTCCCCGGGTATTGGATCTACTGGTGGGGGGGAAGCTTGATACGAAGCAAATGCTCTGTTTTGCTGTTGCAATCTGGTGATTAGCTCTGCCTATTGGGCCATGACCGCAGCCTGCTGTTTGGCGAATTCAGCTTAGCGGACAGCATCTTGCTGCATGAGTTTCATATTTTCTTGCATCTGGCGCATCATTGCCTCCATCCCTGATGTGTTCTACTGATCCATCTAACTTACTGGTATCTATCCCTGCAGTAGAGACTAGTGTTGGGTGGTAAAAAAAAAAACTGAAAACTCAAAATAGAAACACATTTTTTGTGTTTTCATTTTTTGGCCAAATTTATAAACTGAGACCACTGATTTATAAATCAAAAATTTTACCAAACAAGTTTTTATTTGAGTTTTTTAAATTTTATAAATATAAATAGAAAACTGAAAACGTAAGTGTCATCAAACAACACCGTTACTTTTGTTTGTTTAAATTATTATTTTTTGTTTGATGTTATGTTTAGTTTTAATACAAAGGAGAACTCTGCTTTGTGTAATGTGTATATAATTTTAATGCTTTTGTTTGTTGTTTATGTTTATTACTTTTGTTTGATGTTATGTTTATATTTTTATGAAATTAAAATATTCTATATTTTTTTTGTTATTTAATTATGTGAATTTGTAGTGCTAAATCGATTCAATCCTTGTTTAAACGGATTGGTTTAGATTGGTTTCACGATTTAAACAGATTGGATAGATTCGAAATTTTCAGGAACCGTAGATAACGGATTGGTTCTGATTTTATCTCAATCCGGACCATACTCACTCCTACTACTTAGCTCAAATACTCTCTCAAATTAAGTTCTCAATCTGAGAGAAGCTAAATCCTATCCTAAATTCAATAATCATATTGTGAGGGATAAATTTACCCATAAGAATAGTTTTGGATCTAACTCAATCAGGTTAGCATAATCGGTCCAACCCAACCAAATTAACTAGGACAAGCTATCAATCATTTATAATGGAGACCACTCTTTGAAGGAAATATATGCCTCAATTCAATTCATTCTTTATTTTTGAAACACCATCTTTGAAATAATCATTGAAGTGCCGCCAATGAGCAACAATTGGTCGGATAGCACTAATGTTGTACTATTTTCACAAATTGAGAACAGTGCAGCTTCTCTCTCTATAGATCCCTTCAATATCCTGCTCTTATCCCATGTTTGGGAGGGATGGAATTGAAATGGTATTAATGTATGTTTAGTAATTATGTCCATAAGTTTTTATGCATATCCCACTCAATCCCCACACTATTCTACTCTTCTCTTTGGATTAAGCTATCTCTAATTTGTGAGATATAACCTCCAATCCGGCGTCTTTATCCCATTACCAAATTGTGTGATAAAAAATGAGATGAAAATTTTCCACTGATAATTAATTTAATCACCCTCTTCAACCAACAATAAATCGTGCCATGGAATCCAAAATGATAATTTAATTATAACATGCCATAAAATTATACCAAGAACTTGTTTGGTGCAGCTTATGAAATTGTTCATAACTTATTTTTCTTTTTTAGATTTAAATTTTATGTTAAAAGTGTTTTTTCGTAACTACTTATAAATCAAAAACAATTTAAATAAGTTTAAAAAAATTTGATTATTGAAAGTTGAAGGGAAATTACCTTTTAACTTTTATTTTTTAATTACCAACTTTTAACTTGAAAGAAGTTATGCCAAACAATTCAAAATATATAACAATTTTTATGCAAATTTGAATTACTGCACCAAGCTTTAGTTAAATGTGTGCCAGTTGCAAATTCCTACTCTCAAATTTTATTTGACCTTATTTGAGAACAAGCTATTTTAGTAATTTTTTGTTAAAATATGAGGTAAAAAAATTAGTATGTTTAGAATGACTTTTTGATTTTTTACGAAAAAATGTGCAAAAAATAGAGAGAAAAGAGAATTTTTGACTTTTCGATATAAGTTATAGGCTTTTTAATTTTTTTAATAATTTTTTGATTTTTTGACTAAAACACTCGTATGCCAAACGAGATGTGTGCCTTCTTTCATTTGATCTCATATTGGACTGTGCTTTATTTTTCATAGTTGTATATATATTTGTTTTCGAAACTTCATATCAAACAAATCAGAGTGGCGCAGCGGAAGCGTGGTGGGCCCATAACCCACAGGTCCCAAGATCGAAACTTGGCTCTGATACTTGGAAAGTTTAATTTTTTAATTTCTAGTGATTCTGTGACACGTGGTCTTGGTTATTTTTAACACAACGTTCTTTTTTTTTTTTTTTAATTTATTTATTTTATTTCTAGTGATTGTGTGACACCCTTCTTTTGGTGGAAGTGCGAGATCTTGATTATTTTTAACATAATATTTTTATTTCTAGTGATTGTCTTTTATATATATATATATATATATGTATATTTCTAGTGAGTATGAGGTCTTGGTTATTTTTAACACTAATTTTTTTTATTATTGTTTTATTTCTAATGGTTGTGTACTGTGAGATCTTAAATTCAATTTCATAAGAGATGAATTTAATATCTATTAATAGTGATGGAGTGATTATTGGATTTGGATTAGTAAGCTTGGTTATAATGTACGTTATTATCTTTAATGTTTAGATTATGTGAATTTTAAAAAGAGTTTTAATATGACAAACTTGAGTATAGTCACTGAATATCGGTTTTATCAAGCCGAGTACATAAAAAAATAATTTTCAGTTTTGGTGTAAACCTTTACTACTACTACCACTATTACTCATTAAGGCTAAGTTTGGCAAGCGAGCAAAAAATTAAATAATCAAAAAATTATTTAAAAAATTAAAAAATTATTACTATTCATCAAAAAATATATATAAAAAAAATTTAATATATAAATATTAAATACAAATTCATTTTTTGTTCAATCAATGTAGGTGACGTCAGGCCACGTTAGGCCAGCTTTAGTGCAAGGAAAGGGAAAAACAATTGTTTGGGTACATTCAATCAATTTGAATGGTAAATTTGGGCCCGTGGGGGCTCACCATGGGTCCCGTTTTGATAATCTAAACTGTGCAAGATATAGAACTCGTCTAGTACTATATACTTGTAAAAAATTACGTCTATCGGACATCGCTAACTACATGATCAAAACAGTTTTGTATAAAAATTGAATGGTGTTATTGTTAACAGTTGACAAAAAAAACTAACACGATCAGATAGCTATCAATATCCAATCAAAGTAATTTTTTATAAACATATAGTATTCGACAAGTTCTACGTATTAAACGGTTTCGATTAGAAAAGGGGAACCCATGATAGGCCCTCATAAACCGAACAACACTGTCCAATCAAAATCCGAAAAGAAGGCAATATTTTCGCATGTTATACCAAGCCGGCTGGTTGCCAATTCCGTACTGTGTACTACATCTTCTCCTATACACCTCTTTTTATAATTTTTAATACATATTTTTTTATAAAAAGTCAAAAAATTAATTCAAACATTCATATTTTTTTTTCTCAATTTTTTAGTCTAAAAAGACAAAAAATATACTTATTTAAGACGCTCCAAACAACTCCTAAATCAATTAATTATTTTTGTCATCCCTTACATTCATCTTAAACATGGTGATAGATTTGTACATTTCTCTTTTTCTTTTTAAATTTCAATCTAAATTTATAATTCAAACACATCTACTACTCTCTCTCTCTCTCTCTCCTCGCACACGCACAGAGCTGAGCTTGAAGAAGATGTCAAGCGGAGGAAGAAGAATTTCTATTTACTACAATAATTGGCTATTAAAAGGTACTCCACCTCCATCTCTACATGTTAAAGTTAATCATCCCTCTTGTTTCTTATTTGTTCCGTTTCGTTCTCTCTCTAACACCACCAAAAATCCTACTTCTCCTCCTCAAGGACGCGAACCTAAACCTAAAGCATGTACAAGTCTCATGATTCTTCCAAACTACAAAATTTGAAAATTAGGAGAAAAGCCTAAAGTCCTGGTTCACATAATAATAATTCACTATGTTGAAAATCTTGAGCATCAACCAGCAAACATTCCATTGCTCAATTAAAAACTCACTATACACTGTAGCTTATCAATTGTGATGACGATGATGATGATGAGACACAGAGAGAGTATTTGCTTGCCCCTCATAAATATATCCAAATACATCTTTGCCAAGCGTAAAGAATAATAATACATAACAATAATTTCCAGCAAAATCCCAAGAGATGTGTATGATTGGGTGCCCTGCACTCCCACTCTTTGGAAGTTTCATTAGTATCCTCCTCCGATCGCCACCTCCGGCTGCTGAGTAAACACGAATCAGCACGCCTAAACTCATGGCGGCTAGTTAAAACAAATTCAATCACAACATGCTTGTGAGGTAAACAACGGTTTGAGGCAGTGTCATAACTTCGAGTGCTGTCTCCAAGGACAACCCCCTTCAAAAGCCTGTTCCAGCACGTCTTCCATCCGCTTAGCAGGTAGTATCTGTTGCATAGAGCTATCGTCAAGATCGGACCAACAATCATAGTGGTTAACAACAACAGAGCAAGAACACCGAAATATGAGCAGCGAAATCTAGGTCATGTCATACTTCAATTGTGCCTAAAGTTAATTGTGTTGACTAACCAGATTATTCATTACCTATGTAGCACAGATACTTCTTAAAAGAAGTCACGCCTGGATCATATCTATATCAAATACTGATACTCAATACTTTTTGAACATGTCCGATACTTAGATGTTAATTTTGAGAAGTATCGTATACTTTTCACACACTTTAGGTCACATCCAAACTGCCTTGAAAGAGAAATTGTAATAATTTTTGCATGTTATTATAATACAATTGTTAGAATAAATACAAGAATATATATATATTATTTCATACCGAAGAAAAAAATACACATTAATATGTACTAATTGAACGTTCTTTTTTTACCAGAGAAAAAAATAATGAGATTAAAGTAATACTCTACTTTTTTAGATTTTTTCAAATTAAAGTATCCACTAGAAAAGTTTATCTATTGATTCTTAAAAACTGATATCTAATTCTTAAATAATAGTTTCTCATTATTCTTTGAGATCATGCATAATATAATATTAAAAAAAAAAAAAAAAAAATCAACGTACCCTTGCCATACCCATAGCCTATTTTTTTTATTATTTTAAACTGTCATATTTCTATATTCGTATCATGTTATATTTGTATCCCATATCTATGTCCATAGTTCATAGCTTATTACAGCCACATTCTTTGATCCTGGATTCATCTTCGCATATGATATTGCAATGGGTAATTCTATTTACACACCACTAACCCTCTCAGTATACATCATTACTTAGTACATACATGTAATAATTTTTAGAGTTTGAAAATATTTTAGTTTACACCTTAACTTTCCATTGGAGCATCTCCAGCGGTGTATCAATTTTTTCACCAAATGCGAGTAAAAATTTGAGTAAAAACTTGTTTTGATATCAAATGCACCAACAGAAAAATTTGGCTTTTCATCAAACTACTGGTCGACCAGGCGGATGACCGGCCAATATAATTTTTTCAAAGGAATTGTGGACTCTAGGTAAGGGATCAAGCTTTTAGTCGTATAATTGAATTTAATTCTATAAAGATTCAAGTGAAATGTTGAACTCATGCAAGAATTGGGTTAGAACTAAGCAATTGTTAGTCATTCCATGCATGCATGCATGTTTCATAACATTTTGAAGATTGATTTGCAAAAATTCCCTCATGCATGTGCTGAGTTCACTTTAATTTTGGGAAAACAATGAGTTTCATGTTATTTAGTAGCATTTGATCATATTTTGGAGAGCCTTAGTTCAAGGATGTGCATGCATGTTATGTTCACGAATTAATCTTGAGTTTCAAGTTGAATTTTGCATAATTGGCATGCTTTTGGGGCATGATTTCTTGTTATGATCCTTTAAACATGTTGTTTTATGAGTTTTCATGCATTTCCTCAAGTTTTGGCCCCAAAAAATGAGATTTGATGCTTCAAACGTTGAATTTGAGCTTGGTGATCAAATCTGGAAATTTGCCTTAAGGTGATCATATGAGGGGACGACCGGGAGGATATCCAGCAACGGCAATGAACAGTGATTTGATGAAAAACACATTGGTCCTCAATTTGATGAAAAAAAAGTGAAATCCTCAATTTGATACTATACGGGGAGGAAATATTCAACGCTCTCCGTATTCCTCGTGTCCAAGCTTCAAGTAACGTCGCTTAACCTGAGAACAGAAAGATGGTGAGCTACCCGGTGGCGTGCTGCCAAAAAACCCCTCCGATAATCAAGTTAGCACACTTATAAAGAAAGAAAGAGGGAGAAGACAAAAAAGAGATCGTGCTATCGGTAGCTAGAAATTCAGACCTCTTGTATGGAGGTGCCGCACAGTTTAAATAGCTCCTATGCACGCCACTCTACTCGTCTTTTTCTAGACGCGTGGTTATACTGCCCTTTCTATTCCTTACACGTGTACGCGTCAATACTGCCAAATAACATTTGGCCAAATCGCCAAACGGTATTGACGTGTAACTACTGGCGGATTTTCCTCCTCGCACTCCAATTAGGCCACGTAGCAACTCCTGTCGTGCTACCCATAACCCGGCACAAGGCCGTTTACCAACTTCCATCAATCGGCTTAGCTCCGAGTTATCCAACCGGTCAACCGCGGTTCGGCCAAATATTGCTCGGTCTATATAGAGGACGGTGTCATTAGCTCGGACTATCCTTAGGTCAGCCCATTCCACATGTAGTTCGGTCCCTTGTTCGGTGTACATTCCCCTCAATTGCACACATAGCTTGGTCCACAGTTCTCGACTGAGCACATACATAACTCGGCCCATTCTGCTCATTGGATTTTCCCCTCTCAATTGCCCTTAATCTCATCGGTTGCAACCTGATTGGGATTACTTTATTCTTATATAATCTTCAGTTCAGCTCGGTTTGTCATCAAGCTTCATGATAGCTCGATCAAGTTTCATCACTTGTTTTCGGGGCCCGCGCTGCACTGTTGCACAAATCTTCATAGCTCAAATTTTTCAAAATGTTCTTCCGTTTTTGTGTTAACCACGTAACCAGCTTAGCTCGGCGATTTACTTCTCAGCGAGCAAAATTAGCTCAACAAGGGCAAGTCAGTTCGACGACTTGCTTCAAAATCAGCTCGGTAAGGAACTCCAAAGTTGGCGAGCAAAATCAGCTCGACAAATGCAAGTCAATTCGGTGACTTGCTTCAAAATCAGCTCGGCAAGGAACTCCAAAGTTGGCGAGCAAGGTCAGCTCGACAACTTGCATCTTGGCGAGCAAAATCAGCTCGACAAGGAACTCCAAGATTGACGAGCAAGGTTAACTCAGCGACTTGCTTCTTGGCGAATAAAATTAACTCGGCAAGAAACTTCAAGGTCGGCGAGCAAATGTCAACTCAACAACTTGCTTCTTGGCAAGCAAAATCAACTCGGCAAGGAACTCTAAAGTTGGCGAGCAAGATCAGCTCGACCACTTGCTTCTTGGCGAGCAAAAATCAGCTCGGCAAGGAACTCCAAAATGGGTGAGTAAGGTCAGCTCGGCAACTTGCTTCTTGGCGAGCAAAATCAGCTCGGCAAAGAACTTCAAAGTCGGTGAGCAAGGTCATCTCGGCAAGGAATTCCAAAGTTGGCGAGCAAAGTCAGCTCGGCAACTTGTTTTCTTGGCGAGCAACATCATCTCGGCAAGGAATTCCAAGATTAGCGAGCAAGGTCAGCTCGGCAACTTGCTTTCTTGGCGAGTAAAATCAGCTCGGTAAGCAACTCCAAGGTTGGCAAGCAAGGTCAACTCAGCAACTTGCTTCTTGACGAGCAAAATCAGATCAGCAATTTACATCTCAGCGAGCAAAATCAACTTGGCAAGAAACTTCAAAATTTGGCGAGCAAAATCAGCTCGACAACTTACATCTCAACAAGCAAAATCAACTTGGCAAGACTTCTTGGCGAGTAAAATCATCACGGCAAGGAATTCTAAAGTTGATTAAAACTATCAACAAACTTCTTGCCGAGCAAAATCTGTCCGGCAAGGAATTTCAAAGTTGAACAAAACACCAACTTTCATCTTGCCAAACAAAATCAGCTTGACAAGGAATTATGATCTTTCTGTTAAAATGATTGTTAATTGCTCCTTAGACCGCGCTAAATCTGCTTGGCAAGGCAGAAATACAACAATTTTCAAGAATATGGCTTACTTGTTTCATTGCACCAATAGCAAGAAGGGTTACAAGAATAAAACTAAGAACAAAACTTTAGATTGGCAGAGTTCGACATTCTGAAAAAAGATCGGTCATTTATATTTTGCGAGTTTTATGCCCATTTTCCTCGGCCTTCTTACTGACGTCTTCCAAAACTGAACTCCCTAGATCTCTCCCATGGTTATTTGCATGACCATCCTCTTGTTCGACTGCATTGACTTTTCCCGCAACTCTTTTGTCTGCCACTATTGGATTTGCCTTGACGGTAGCTGTGGCCGTGTCATCTTCAACTCGGATGTGTTCGTTGATGCGTTGCAGAAGCAACTCCATGGTCGTCAGTTGGTTCATGCTAAGCGAGTCTCTGAGTCAATGTCCAACTAGAAGACCGTACTTGTATTGAGTGATTGCTAGGTTCGTCGGGCAATCGAGAACTTCGTTGAATGTTTCCCAATACTTGGCGTTGTACGCCTTCAAGGAGTCGCTTGTTTCCATCTTGATTCCCAAAAGGTGGTTGACTTCTTTGGGTGTTTTGGTGTTGGTCTTGAATCGTGTCACGAATGCCTCCGCCAATTGCTGCCACCTCTTAATACTTTTCTCCGGCATCCTCTCGAACCATTTCAGGCCCAACTCGCTCAAACTTGATGGAAAAATAAGGCACATGAGTGCATTGTTTCACCTGTGCCTGGCCATAACCTGCCGAAAGTGACTTACGTGCATATACGGATCGGTCTTTCCATCATAGAGTGTGAACTTTAGCTGAAGTTCAAGGTTTTGTTTGTCGGATTCCCATAGACGGCACCAATTGTACTGGGAGGAAATATTCGACACTCTCCATACTCCTCGTGTCCAAGCTTAAAGTAACGTCGCTTAACCTGAGAATAGAAAGATGGTGAGCTACCCGGCGGTGTGCTGCCGGAAAAACCCTCTAACGGTCAAATTAGCACACTTACAAAGAAAGAAAGAGAGAAGACAAAAGAGAGATCGCGCTCTCAGTAGTCAGAAATTCAGACCTCTTGTATGGAGGCGCCGCACAGTTTAAATAGCTCCTGCGCGCACCACTCTACTCGTCCTTTTTTGGACGCGTGGTTGTACTGCCCTCTCCATTCCTTACACGCGTACGCGTCAACATTGCCAAACAACATTTGGCCAAACCGCCAAACGGTATTGACGCATAACTACTGGCAGGTTTTCCTCCTCGCACTCCAATTAGGCCACGTAGCAACTCTTGTCGTGCTACCCATAACTCGGCACAAGGCCGTTTACCAACTTCCATTAATCGGCTCAGCTCCGAGTTGTCCAACCGGTCAACTGCGGTTCGGTCAAATATTGCTCGGTGTATACAGAAAACGGTGTCATTAGGTCAGCCCATCCTTAGGTCGGCCCATTCCACATTTAGTCTGGTCTCTTGTTTGGTGTAAATTCCCCTCAATTGTACACATAGCTCGGTCCACACTTCTCGACCAAACACATACATAACTCGGCCCATTCTGCTCATTGGATTTTCCCCTCTCAGATACCTATTTAGTACAACCGTTGAAGCAGGAACATGACTCATTTTTCATCAAATTCAAATTTGATGAAAAGTTTGAGTAACCATTGGAGATGGTCTTACTAACCCTAATGTAACACACCATTTGTCAGTTTGAATACACACCACAATCCATGCCCAAATATCTCCATCTTCATAACACCAAAGACCTCCATCTTCAAAACACCATAGATCTCCATCGTCGACATTGAAGATCTCCATTGCCAGTAGAGGATTTTGCTCAGACGATGCCTTCTCGTCGTTTCACATCTCCATTGTCGTCATCGTTTAGCTGTTGTATTGCCGGTGCATTGTCCTCATTTCAGATCTCCAAGTTCGCCGTCGTCTCACCAATACATTGTCGGCATTAAAGATTTGTCATTCTCACCCTTAATTCACACCTTGATATGTTTTTCCTATCTTTTTTTGATTTGGTTACCAATTCAACTTCCATAGCAATTTCTATTTCGAGTTTGACTCAAGTCTGGTTGTTTGAACATAATATCATCGTACAAAAAAAATAAAATTGAACAAATTGAATATGTTCAAAATATTTATACGCTGAACAACTTCAATTCGTTCAGACTTATTATGTTGAACATTTTTTATATGTTTATTTTTATTCTGTTGAACATAAATATTTATTTATTTATTTTTTGTAAATGTTGACTATGTCTACTTTTTGTTTAAAAACAAAAAATACCAAAAACGAATTAAATTATTGAATTGAATTAAATTTGAGAAATAAAATTCTTAAGAAATTAAAATGATCAATTTTTTTACGTATGAACATTTATAATTTGGTCAACGTTAATAATTTGAACAAAATTGTTTTGTTCGAACAAAAACAATCGAACATTATGTAAAAGTTCAACTCTGGTTATCCGAACACGTGACGAACAAAGTCATTTTCTCAATGACTATACAAATGAGATAGATAAAAAACCAAAAAACTAAGTAGTAAACTCATATTTTCATTGTTGCATTGTTCGAAATCAACGATCTCAATGTCGTCCATGGTATGCAAATCTTCAAAATCAATTGATTTCAATGTTCTTAAACTCTAAATCTTCAAAACCAATTGATTTCAATGTTCTTAAATCCTAAATTTTCAAAACCAATTTATTTTGGATGTTTTATTTTGGATATTTATATGTCTATAAGTGATGATGGTGTGCGAAGAGTGTTTTGTATTTTTATACATGAAATTTTTGAATGGGTAGAATACACCCCCATATTGTCCTTAATGGTCTTTTCATTTGAGGATATTATTGGAATATAAATTTAATTAGTTAATGGTGCGTACTGAGAGGATTAGTGATGTGTAAATAAAATTTCCCTATTGCAATCTTAAAACATCCTTATCATCCAAACTACCTAGGTAGTTCAAATAAATTACAAACAAACATGGGTCATTATGGCTTTTTGAGTCATTAAATGCGTCTACAAAATTGATCCACCTTTCATCAACTAGACATGCCAATACTTCAGTGTTCACATCTTCTTGTTTCTGAAAAGTTCTTATTAAGATTCCCCCTGGTTATAGATTTCTCTATCTCTCATCAACACCAAACTTTTGACTAAGGGTTTCCTACTTAAGTTTTCAGAGATGGAGTATAGCTGACTCAATCAAGAGGTTAAATTTTTTTTTACCGAAGTGTAGACTTAAAGCTTAACATCACCACTGACTATAATTAAGAATGTGGTTAGCCAGTTCGATTTCTCTATATTGATACATTGTTGAGCCAAAGCTTCTCCGTCTTTCTTTTCTTTCTTTGCTTTATATCGCTGGGCAACAGGGCAGACTAGCTAGAGACTTTACTAGTGCAGACCTATGTTACCTGGAACACAGATTGTTTTGGTACGATAACCAGGAACCGGAAAATGGTACACCACATGCTCTAAAATGTAGTACAAATTACACTATTAGAAAGGTGCCTGAAATTGTTAGAGCAATTTTCCTAAAATACATTTCTAGGAGTATTATGGCATTTTTTTTAATATATTTTGTTCTACCAAAACTCTATTCTCCTTGCATTTTAATTCATTTATACTAGATTAAGGAAAACTCTAAGAAAATAAAGATAAATATTTTGGGATCGTTTTGGATTGCTAAATTCACTATTTTGGAATGAAAGTGTTCCATGGTTTGAAGCATGTGTTCCAAAACATAAATCACTAGGGTCATTTAAGTTTTCTGGTGACACTAGTGCAAACTATCGGCACTTTCCAGTTTGCACATACACTCATACACAGGAAAAATACCTTAGCCATGTATAGAAACAAAATTACCTCCAAACTGGCAAGCACAGGCGGTGGTACTTCAACTAAGTCCTTCAAGTTCCTTTCTGGAAGGATAACTCTCTTGATACCATATCGATGAGCTGCCAACACCTGTACAGCATGTATTTGAACTAGCAAGTCAAAAGTGAGTCTTGGAACATTTACTTAATATGTACTCGAATTATGCCATAATGCAAAGAGAATGAATTGAGCACTTATCACAACTTCACGATATGCAATTATACATTTTTGTCTTCTTAAAAGTTGACATTCCTCCTCATACTGTACATTCTTGTGTATTGCTAGCAAATTTGTTTTGCAAAGCCAATTACCTTGTTTGGTTAAGTTTACAATAATAGTTTCGTAAAAACATAAAAATAAATAAAACACACTCATCATTTTCATATAGTTTCTCTTTTTTGTGGCAAAAATAATTTTTGAAGATTTGAAAATATTTTTTTTGATGTTTATTTTAATCAAACTAGTTTTCATTTTTTGAAAAGAAAAAAAAAAGGTAAAGAAAACAGATTATAAAAACTCAGCCAAACAATGGTTTCCCAAGTTTTTAAATTCTGTTGCTTACCCTTTTTCAGCTGATCATTGCTTAATTATATATATAAACTATGAAATACAACAATGATATCACAAGGGGAAAACATTGTCCTTGTCTCACACGAGTTTTCCTATACTACAACGTGCGAAATGATTCGTCCAACATGCATGTGTGTCAAATCACGCAGAGAGAAAAAGGCAAAAATTTAAATGCCCTCAAAATCAAGTTCAAAAAGCGAGGGAAAAATTGATTGACAAACAAGCAATTAACCTAATCAAATTCATCATTCTGGGTTGAAGGCAACAACAATAGGATTAAAAGTACTACTTGTTTCTTGGATACTAACATAAATAGCAACGAAGAACTAGAACATGAAAGAGAGTTATGAAAAGCACACCTTATCCTTAACACCACCAACGGGTAATACTAGACCCCTCAGAGTCATCTCTCCAGTCATTGCTGTATCAGCTCTTACCCTTCTCTGACTGAACAGCGAAACCAGTGATGTTACGAGGGTCACACCGGCTGAGGGTCCATCCTTAGGCACAGCCCCAGCAGGGAAATGTATATGAATGTCCCGGCCCTCCAGCAGATTAATTCCCTCAGCTGAAGCCAATTTAAGTTCTGCTGCCCTTGCTCTAACCTGTATGTCAAGGGAATGTCTATTAGAGTCAAAGAACAAATAAGAAACTATAAACTCCTAAATAAAATATAAAAAAAAAAAGGTTTCAGCATCAGGATCTTGGTTTGGAGGATGTCTTACAGCAGCTACTGTAAATATACAGTGAATAACAACTGCTGATGTCTATATTTTTTGCACAGGTGTATCTGCATGAACTATAAAAAGGCCAGTAGACCAAAAATTTCAAACAATTGCCCAGAACTTGACATTTCTGCATCATTATATGGCGTAAGGTTATCAATTAGAGCTTCATTATGTTTTATCTCATACAGAATCCATGAAAATTTTAAAATTCTAGATTAAATACAAGGTAAAAGGTAAGGACGATAGATTCACTTTTCTTTTTCCTTCCAAAGTGGGGTGTATCTTATCTCTATTAACAACGGACTCCTCTAAAACGTTAAGCCATTAGAGAGGGTGTGACTTAAATATTTAAGGCATCAACATGCAAACATGTGCATGTAAACAGTACTCAGGTAGGTAATGAGATTCAAACACGTGAAACTTCCTACTCTGATACCATGCTAACAACAACTGACTCTAGGAACCTTATAACTGGCTGAAAAAGTTCATATAGGAAGAGCATGCAAGGGCAAGAGAGAAAAAAAGAATGAAAAGAACATAAACAACTTTATAATTGGTTCAAAGTTCAAACTTACTTGCGGAAAAATCACAAAACTATATCCATTAGGAAGTCGGATGACTCAACTGCACATTCAGGGAACATGCCTTTTTCTCCTAATACAGGTACTAATTATTATATAGGAGGAGGAATATAATAAATTAAGTTCATATTTCGTACTTTATTATTTTTAATATATTCAACTATTTTATATATACATCATGCATGAAAATATACAGGCTGAAATCAAAAGCATTGTGCCTCCACGCCTTCAGATTGAGGCAAAAAACTTGACCATTCTCCCTCTTAAAACTATATTCATGAGCAAGATGAAAATTTAGCATTTCATTGGGCATTCCTTGCGCATATGAATCAAGACAAAACCATTTGAAGGAATAGATTACCCAGGTTAATGCAATCTGAGCTGATTCTTTAATAACATCACCAAGTTGGCCAGTGAGATGAAGATCACCCTTTCCCGCCATCACTGTAGCCTCGACAAACTGAACTTCCCCACCAAAAGCAGTCCAAACCAACCCGACGGATACCCCAGGAGATGCGACTCGTTCTGCAGTTTCTTTGTCATCATATCTTGGAGGCTGCATTCCAATAACAAAAATTCCAAACCACATATCTGTAAGCCATTACAAGAAACTCAACAGAACAAAAAAGCGTGTGACAATTTCAAGTGGATTAAGAATTAAATAGAAACTAATAATTGTAACCACTAAGTATAAAAACCGTCCCCAGATAGATCAAGTTGTGATTGAACAAAGTACCCCTGGTTTCCCACAATTATTTCTAATTTGAGCACAAGGGCGACTGACCCAGTGCACAAGGCCCCCGCTAAAGCAAGGTCTGCATCCTGATTAAAAATGTAAAACAAAAGTACTTACCCCTAATACTTTTTCCAGCATAGCTTCATCCACAATAAAAGGCGAGAGAACTCTGAATGCATTTGATATCTCATGATTGCTAACACCCATTGGAATTACTTCCATTTCCACCTCAGTTCCATCAGCAAGTCCACTCTCCAGCAGCGGTGAACCAAGCCGGTGCACATCTTTGCTGAGCGGTACATGATGTTCTTGCTCTGCAACTCTTACAGCTGCTGCACGAGCTAACGCAGCTAAGTTCCTCTCCAGATTCCTAACACCAGCTTCTCTGGTATACCTCTGAATGACAAGTTTCACCATATCCTACCACAACAAAAAGGAATAAACTAATGAAGAATCTTTTATCGCAACAGAAGTAATCGCGTGAGAGACTACGGGAACGGCAGTCAACTGACTTTTTCACCATAGCCCACCATAACAGAAAGCAATATACCAACGAAAAAATTCACAATAAGGTGATTGCAACCAAATTAATCATATGTGAGTAGAACAGTCCAAATTTCACCTCAAAACTTACCAGGTGTCTAAAACAAACCCCAATAGAACATTTCCACGCAGGGAAAAAAAAACGCGTACACATTACATATTTCATCCTTCTAGTATAAGAGGAATCATAATCCTACGAATAAAAAGCAAGGGAAAAAATTCCACAAAAATATAAACAGTAAAGAAACAAAACAAAAACTGAAAAAAAACTTTCATCACATCATAGCATGACCTTTCCACCAACAATCAATGGAACTTTTGTCTCAAATTTTTTGCTGACCATATTTGTTATTCCTAGTTGACAATCAATAGAACTTTTGTCTCGTGGCATAACCTATCAACCCTAGTTGTTATTCCATCAAATGTTCATATTTTATCTTTAAACCAGTAAAAGAGAAATCCATTGCAAAAAAAAAAGAAAAAAAAAAAAAGAAGAAGAAGTGGCAGCATGTCAGGATTCTGTTGATATTTCATCAAATTAAGAGGCGGTGCATATGACCATAACATGATACCCAACCTTAAGTACTCAGTACATTGCAGAATCCAAAAAGGCCCCAAAGCATATAAGAGACCGAAAACTTCATCCACAGCATAAGGGACTATAAACTTCATTCCCTAAACATTTGAAAGGTTATCCATGCCTGTTCATATTTGAAGCATGTGAGTTTAACAAAACAACAACAAATGAGGGATTCGACAGTTTCGCATCAAAACTAAATAGCTCATAGCTACTTCAGACACCTGCTAGATAATGTGCAAACTTGTTTCCCTGCATTAATGAAAGGTAATTCTAATACTAAGTAAGAAAACAAGGTTGTTGTGAAGCTTTCAGTTTCCAAACCATGAGACCAAGCATTAGATAATTTTCACCAATTATCTATTATATCATCAAAGAATGACCAACCATTAGCAAGTACTAATAGTTACCAAAATCGTACATTATTGTGTACAAAATCTACAAATGGAAAGCAGGGTAATATGTCAATGGCATATGCTGGGCGCCACGAAGCCAAGATGGAAAAATGCTACAAGTTTGATTCTTCTAGTTATACTTCACCAATATTATAAAACTTAATACCTCAGGAATTTGAAAGAACTCAGAACTCAAGCCATGCTGATCCAGAACTCGTGGGATGAGGTGTCGAATTGCTATTTTAAGCTTTTCTTCAGGTGTATATCCTGGCAGTTCAATGACCTCCATCCTGTCTAATAGTGGTGGAGGAATAGGTTGCACCCTATTTGCAGTCGCCACAAAAACAACCTTCGAAAGGTCAAATGGAACATTTAAATAGCTGGTAACTTCAATTAAGGAATCATTATGGATATGTTACGATTGTACTATAATGAGTACTTCATTCATTGAACATTCACTCGCATTCTTGATTCAATTTAAAATATCTATCAAATCTATAAAAGGAGTACCGGAACATATTGAGATTGATTTTGATATAACAAGAACTTGACATATTCTATATGCTTAAAACCTTGTCCAGATGAGACAACTTCTACTGTAAAGTTATTTCGGGAATCCAACGAAATTCTAACAAGAAAAAAAAAAAAAAAATAGAGTAACATAGGCAGTTGGAAGGACACAGGGAACTGGGGAAAAAAAAAAGGTTTAGATACAGATTACCCGACGGAAAAATCAGTAGCCAGATTTAAAGCTTATAGCCCCAGAAACCCAGATCATGGGCCATAACAATGGTTGAGTTGAGAGGCACCAATACCTCATTAAAATGGGGCAAAAAAAAAAAAAAAAAAATCAATATTCAGACTCCATCATGTAAAAAAAAAAAAAAAAAAAAAAAAAATCAATATTCAGACTCCATCATGTGAATATGCATATGGAAGTGGATTTAAACTTGAACAAAAATTTTACTCTAAAACAAATCTTGAATGGCATAACTGGAAAATAAGACATATGATGCCCATACATAGAATTAAAAGACACAAAAGAACATACATTTTTAAAAGAGTCACCAATAGTCCAATCCATAACAAAGAGCGACCAATAAGATGATTTTCAGAATCACATCCATAAGAAAAGAGGATACTGATCGTTGAATGTTCTGTTTTGTTCAGGATCAAGAACCTCCAGTAGAGCTGAAGCTGGATCCCCCCTAACATCAGAACCTGTCTTGTCAATCTCATCCAGCAGCATAACTGGGTTGCAAACAGCTACTCTCTAAAATTCACAATACAATAAAATAAAAGAAGGAAGAGTTTTAGTATCCCACCCAAAACATAAAATAAAAGGCTGTTATGCAATCAGCCAGGCCCAATTCCTAAGGAAGTGGTGACCTATGCATTCAATTTCCTGAACATAATAATTTCACTATTATCAAGTAAAATAATACATATATAAATGGCTAAAACCGTTCAAGCATCCAACCAAAGTAAATTTTTACATGCCCTACACAGAAACCATGCTAAAACATAAGGCACCCAATGGGAAAACATGCATAGCTATGATAAATTGAGATGATAAATTTAGAGAATATCAAGATTAGGGAATGATTAGACTATCATCCCTTATTTATATTAATGAAGATCAATAATTACAAGGGAGCTCTAAGGCATAGAATAATTACAAAATAATACCCCAAATAAGAATATATTATTCTAACACTTTCCCTCAAGCTAGTAAGAAAATATCTCTCATGCCCAGCTTGCTTAAGATGCCATGAAAGGGCTTACTCCCAACTCCCTTGGTGAGAATGTCAGCAAGTTGTTCACCAGACTGCACAAAGGGAGTACATATGGCGCCACTAATGAGTTTCTCCTTAATGAAGTGGCGATCAATCTCAACATGCTTTGTCCTATCATGTTGAACCGGATTATGAGCAACATTGATAGCCGCCTTATTATCACAATATAACCGCATGGAGTCTGTCTGATCAATACCGAGATCACTCAACAATAACTTGATCCATAAGAGCTCACACACCCCTTGTGCCATAGCTCTAAACTCAGCTTCTGCACTTGACCTAGCAACCACATTCTATTTCTTACTCCTCCAGGTAACTACGTTGCCTCCAACAAAGGTGCAATACCCTGAAGTCAATCTCCTATCGATTATTGATCCAGCCCAGTCAGCATCTGTATAGGCTTCCACACGAAGATGATCATACTTTGAAAAATAAAGACCCTTACCAGAAGCAGACTTCAAGCACCTCAAAATTCTCATGACAGCCTCTAAGTGAATCTGATGAGGAACATGCATAAACTGGCTAACCACACTGACTACAACAGCAATATCAGGACGAGAGTGTTATAGGTAAATCAGCTTACCCACTAATCGCTAATAGCTCCCCCTATCAACAGCTGCTCCACTTTCATCATCCCCCAGTTTCTGATTGGGTTCGAGTGGAGTGTCACAGGCCTTGGAGCCAAGCATCCCAGTTTCCTTCAACAGGTCAAGTACATACTTCTTTTGTGAGATAAATATCCCATTCTTGGAGCGAGCAACTTCAATTCCCAGAAAATACTTCAAGCTCCCCAAGTCTTTGATTTCAAACTCACTGGCTAAATATTTCTTCAACAGAGGTATTTCCTCACTATCATCACTTGTAAGAACTATGTCATCTACATAAACATTGAGTGTTGTAGTCTTACCACGTGAGGAATGTTTCACAAACAAGGTATGATCTACCTGACTCTGTTTGAAGCCATATTTAAGCATAGCCTGAGTGAATCTCTCAAACCAAGCCCTTGGAGACTGTTTGAGACCATATAATGACTTTCGAAGCCTGCATACTTTGCCTTCTGTCTGATGATCCTCAAAACCAAGAGGAATGTCCATGTATACCTCTTCTTCGAGGTCACCATGGAGAAAGGCATTCTTTACATCAAATTGATGAAGTGGCCAGTCTAGATTAGCTGCTAGAGAGAGTACTCTAACTGAATTCATCTTAGCCACTGGTACAAAGGTCTCCTGATAGTCAACGCCATATGTTCGAGTGAACCCTTTTGCCACAAGTCTAGCTTTGTAACGCTCAATAGACCCATCCGCTTTGTGTTTCACAGTATACACCCATTTGCATCCCATAGGTCGTTTACCCGTAGGTAACTCAGTCAATTCCCAAGTGTCATTCTTTCTAAGTGCTTTCATTTCTTCAATCGTGGCAAGTTTCTACTCGGAGGTAGCAAGAACATCCTGAAAATGGGTAGGAATGCTAACAGAGGAAATATTTGACACAAACGTTCTATAAGAGGACGATAAATGAGAGTCGGACACAAAATTAGAGATAAGATGTTGACTACAAGATCTCACACCCTTTCTCTTGGCAATAGGTACATCAAGATCAATGGACTCAAGAGATTCAAAGTTACCTGGACTCTCATCAGAAGTAGGAGATGGCAGTGGAGGAGCAGAAGTGGTCTCTTGTATCCAGTTAACTTTCTGTCTGTCTTTGTCCCTGACATAAACTTGCCATTCCCTATCCTTGGTAACATTGGGTTCTGTAGTCCCAGTAGAAGGTGGTAGTGCAAGAACAACTGGTTCCACCATAGGAATCACAGGAATCACTTCACACCAAGGCTCCCCCTGAAGGGAGGACTGTGACACCGAAGAGGATAAGAAATAGGATTGGGACTCAAAGAATGTGACATCCATGGGCATAAACCACTTACGAGAAGGAGGGTGGTAACATTTATACCCCTTTTGAGTAGGAGAATCCACAAGAAAAACACATTTTAGTGAGCGGGGGTCCAACTTACCACGAGTAGGAGAGTGATTGTGGACAAAACAAACACAACCAAATATTTTGGAAGGAATAGAAAACAAAGACTTGGAACCTAGAAGGACTTAAAGAAGAGCTTGTTTTTGCAAGACATGGGTAGGAAGACGATTAATAAGATGGGCAGCTGTGAGAACAGCGTCGCCCCAATAAGAACGAGACACACTCATAGAAAAACACATGCACCAAGCCATGTCAAGAAAATGACGATTCTTGCGTTCCGTCACCCCATTTTGTTGAGGGGTATTGGTGTAAGAGGTTTGATGGATAATGCTATGAGCAAAAAAATATTGCCCTAACCCAGAATCTATGTATTCCCCCCATTATCAGAACGAAAGATTTTGACAATGGCCCCAAATTGAGTACAAAGCATCTTATGAAAATTTCAGAACACAGAGAAAACCTCACTCTTGTCTTTCATGAGATACACCCAAGTAGTATGAGAAAAATCATCAATGAATGTAACAAACCATCGATGACCTTTCACAGACATAACACGAGATGGACCCCAAACATCAGAATGTATTAACGAAAAAGGAACTGAACTTTTATTAAAACTGGGAGCAAAAGAAGCTCTGTGTTGTTTTCCAAGTTGACAAGACTCACAAAGAAACTCAAACACATTATTATTTGCAAAACCAGATGGAAATAAATGTTTAAGTAAATAAAAAGAAGGATGCCCAAGATGCCAATGCCACAGCCATAAATCAACTTGGGTGATAGGACTCGTGGTGGAAGAATGAGCAAGCTTGTCCGGTGGATCCAGGAAGTAAAGACCATTTGCTGCACTGCCACTACCAATCGTCCTCCTTGTGACAAGGTCCTGAAAAAGACAATGATCAGAAAAAAAAGGTCACACTACAATTTAAATCTTGTGTAATACGACTCAAGGATAACAGGTTAACAGAAAATTTGGGAACATGAAGAACAAAAGATAGAGGTATAGTATGAGTGATATGGACTAAACTATTCCCAGAAATAGAAGAAGCAGTACCAGCTGCAATCCTAATTTTGTCCTGACCTGAAGAAGGCTTATAGGCAGAGAAAAAATCAGAAGAGCCAGACATATGATCTGAGGCACCAGAATCAATAATCCAGGGAAAAGACTTATGAAACAGGAAAACACAAGGAGAAGAGGCTAAGTTACCTGAGCGGGCAAACGACGAGAAAGATGTACTAAGAGGAGTAGAAGATCGGCGGTCTAACAAGTGACGTAGAACATCCTCGAGCACAGGAGTAGTCATGCCAAAGAGACCATCAGAAGGTTGACCAACGAAAGCGGAAGTAGAATCAAGTGTATCAATGGTACTAGATTGATGGGCCCGTGGATGAGAATCCCGTCCTCTAGACTGGCCTGACCAGCCTCCTCTAAAACCAGACCGATCACCTCGACCCTCGGATGGAGTTCCATGAACCTTCCAACATGTCTCACGAGTATGTCGTGATTTTTTACAGTAATCACAAAACACAGATTCCTTGGCGGCAAATGGAGGGATGGGAGTCAGGCAAAGGCCATCTCTAGGAGTAGTCAGTAATGTGGAGCGGTCAGTAGAAACAGGGGACATCATAGTAGACCGGCGACTCTCCTCATTCTGTACATAGGCAAAAGCCTCCTGAAGTGAAGGAAGAGTGTCCACACTCAAAACCCGACTCCGAATCGGATCATACTCCACATTGAGCCCTGCCAAAAACTTGAAGCCCTTTCATGTGCAATGAATTTCCTGTATCCAACTAAATCAGTAGTGCAAACAGGCTTATAGTCCTGCAGGTGATCAAGGCGTTTACAGCCATTGGTGAGGAAGGTAAAGTACTGAAGGACCGTCTGCTCCCCCTGAACAGAGCTCTCCATAGAGCGGCGTAACTCAAATGCCTGAGAGAAATTCCCTTTGTGGGAATAGGTAGTAGCCACAGAATCCCAAACATCCTGGGCAGTCTCCATAGATAAGTAGCCCTCGCCAATGTCTAATACCATCGAATGAATAAGCCAACCCATAATCAAAGAGTTGGTAATCTCCCATTGGTCATAACCCGGGTCAGTGGTGCTGGGTGCCTGTATCCTGTCATCAACATACCCCATCTTCCGTCTGCTCTTCAAAAACATAGTCAAACTCTGCGACCAAGCTAGATAGTTTTGACCATTAAATGGAGAGGTGGTGATTTTAATACTAGGATTGGTGTTATCAGTCATAGTGGTAGGTAGAATGGAACTCTCACTCTTAGGTGTCGACACACTGGTGGAATCTGCCATAGATACTGTACTACCGAACCCTCAACAAAACTAGTACCAATCACAAATCCGAAAGGTGGTGGTGGAAGGGAAAACAAACACAACGACCACTATGACAGTATAAATAACAATTCATACTTTACTATCTTTTTTTTTTTTTTTTGACAAGCACTGTTCAACACTGGACCAAGTCAAACATTAACATAGATAGACAAACAAACAAAAAAACAAACAGACAAACGAAACTAGAGAGAGAGAGACGAGGGAAAAAGCCATCAGCAATGTCGCATGAAGCGAACGGACCAGGAGGGCTGTCGGTGGCAGTCGAAGAGGCCAGGAGGGTTGTCAATGGCAGTCAACTAGACCAGGCGACTAGCAGCGATGCTGTTATGGATGAGAAGTCGAAGTCAATCACAGAGAGGATAGTCGCCTAAGAAGCTGCGAGAGACCCAAGTGAGTTTCGAACCCTAGGGAACCAGCAATACCCAGTTGGAAAAAGGGTTTGTCTCCGGCTGGTAGCGGGAGGCTCCGGTGGGTAACAAAACTGCTTGGGGAGATGAGTTTAGGGTTTAGGGTTAGGCTCTAATACCATGATAAATTGAGATGATAAATTTAGAGCATATTAAGATTAAGGAATGATTAGGATATCATCCCCCATTTATATTAATGAAGATCAATAATTACAAGGGAGCCCTAAGGCATAGGAATTACAAAATAATACCCCAAATAAGAATATATTATCCTAGCAAGCTATGTTGTAATTAGACCACGATCAGAGTATTCTAATTGCTACTATTTTAATGCATAAAGTTGCTTTTTCAGTTTTCCAAATAGTCAGATGAACACATTAAAGGAATATGAACAGTGCAAATGCAACTCCACTTCTGAATGTGTCTCGTGGCAGTACAAATGTAACCATGTGGGCCTTCTCAAATTTAGACAACATGTGTCATCATTTGATGTACATCAGGAGGCAGGAACCCACATTTGAATGAATCTCACTCAGAACAATATATACTACACAAGAAAGCATCAATCAGATAATTATAAATCATTGACCATCAACTGACACACACATCTAGGTCACAGTACCCTACACCTTCCCTTTTTGGGTGGTAAGGAAATTACTTGGGCTAACATCTGATTGTCTTTTGATTGATTTGTTTGACACTGCTTGTCCAATTTCATGTCTTTTGGGGTGAGGGAGAGAAATTGTTTTCGCAATTATTTAAAACATGAATGGATTTTGCAACTAGAATCAGTGAGTTCATCCATCCTTGCTCTAAACAAGCCTCCCCCTTGCAAATTGTTGTTTTTGCAAGACGTGCGTATACATGGAGCCAAGCCCCCACATATGACCAATCCAAAATGTTATACATGTCATTCTATGCAAGTGCCTTACGAGCATGGAAGAATTTCCTAATTAAAGATTATAATAAAAGCTTATAATGAAGCAGACATCAAATAATTTAACCGGGATTCTTAAAAAAGAAACTATCATCAAAACCAGTTACAACAACCTTTAATCCATCAATAAGACGCCCTGGCATGCTTCCAATGTATGTCCTCCTATGCCCTCTAATATCAGCCTCATCCTTAACACCACCAAGGGATATGCGTACAAATTTTCTTCCCAGAGCAGCAGCAATAGATGATGCCAAAGATGTTTTTCCAACACCTGGTGGGCCAACGAAGCACAAAACTGGGCCTCTTGCCTCTGGTTTGAGCTGCAATGAACATAATTAAAACTAAATCATACTGAATACAAGAATCAGAACATGACATATTCAAAGAGACAAGAATTAGAGAAGTAATCAACCTTGCGAACTGCTAGATATTCAATTATCCGTTGCTTGACCTTGACTAAACCGTAGTGGTCACTGTCAAGACGCTCTCTTGCAGCCTTTAAGTCCAATTCACATTCTTCATTGGCCTTTTGCCAGGGTAGATCGGCAAGAAGTTCCAGGTAAACACGAGAGCTATTATATCCCGGTTGCTGAGGTTGCATTTTTTTAAGTCTCCTGATAAAAGAATTTTGCAGTAGAAATCAAAAGGAAAGCAACTAGATTCTGAAACTCATTACTCACAAGAGCAATGCTAGAATTTTTGGTAGATTCTTTTGGGGTGTCTAGTATTTTTGTATTCACAATCATGCAGTTGACCAGAACACAGAACTAAAGATTGTAAAAGAGCACGTCTTCAGCAAAACCTCTTACAATGTGAATAATTACCATAAAGACACTGTGGTTCCACAATGAAGAATGATGAATATCTCATAGATCAACAACTAAAAATCAGTTAATTAAAAGCACAAAGATTCAAAAAATATTCACCATTACCAATGTACAGGTCAAGCAATACTCCAAGATCAATAGTAAAGAGAGCTCACTATTGAATTTAGTTGAAGTGGTGAAAAACCAAAGTCACGAGAAGCGTGCACAAGATGTGGTATGACATTGTACCAGTAGCAAAGTTATGAATTACGTAGTTTGTAAACACTCCACTTTCAGATGTTTCTGCTCATCAATCTTGTAACAACATCAATCAATAATACATAAATTCTTACAGTTATGAATTACGTAGTTTGTAAACACTCCACTTTCAGATGTTTCTGCACTATGGGACAGTCATTGATGACTTTTTCTTTCTCATGACTTTTTCTTTCTGTGACAAACGTTGGATTATATTATAAAAACTCTCCTTTCAGATACCCATGTAACAAGATTTTTCGTTCACACATTCAAACTTATTCACATTGCACAGATGTGCAATGCCTGTGTCATGCGTCAACACAACACGGGTCAACCCAATTGCCTGCCTTCATGAGTATTCTCATATTTTATTAGTTTTGACTTGAAGAAGTTCTATACAACTAAAAGTGTATTTGTTAAAGCACAAACTATATATGATAATTGATAAGTAGGAAACTTCTCCTTATCAACAGTTTGCCAGAATCAGAGACTTCTTCACACACACACCTATTAAATTCCTGTTTAACAAAAATCTTTCTGCATTAGTGTGCAGTACATGAAGTTCATAATGCATTTCAGTCACAGAACTTATGTTTAGATGCATTACTTTCTTCACTATTGTTTTGTAAGGTTATTCCGCTTGCATACACCAAAATTAATAAATAGTTAAGAGTATGATGTTCAAACATGCGGACAAATGTATACATAAACAGAAATCAAAATCCTTGTTCCATTGTCTAAGGAGCATTGCTATGTGTTCATGTCAAGATGTAAAACTTGAGCCCCCCTCCACAAATCATCAGTAGCTATAAACCTAATGTAACATCTTGCTAAATCAAAGTATGGTAATAATCAATAATTTTATCTGCCACGTGAAAGGTCTATCCGAACAGTCCTAGTAAGATCGTTAAACTAAGCTACAGCGTGTACAACATAGTATACCTCAATTCCCTCTGTGCATGCTTCCAAATATCTGGGGGCATTGCTGCACTTTGCATTTTTCTTTCCAGGGCAGCCACATCATCCTCATCATCATCATTGTCCCCAAGCTCCTCTTTTATAGCTCTCATCTGAAAAATGCTCGGAAAAGAGTAAACAAAGAAGAAATATAATTCAGACAGGCCTAAAATAAAGTAATGCCACATATATTGAAACAGTTAAATATATGTTCTCCAACCAGTAAAACAAACCAAATATTTTCTAAATATCCAGTTTGCGAAGCCATTGAATCATATGGATAATGGTATATTAAATTAAACTGGGTTATTCATTCAGAATTATAAATAGTACATGGAGTAAATAAAGATTCTTAAATTGACTTGTTAAGAAGAAGAAGAAGAAGAGGTCTACTAAAAAACTACAGAGCACAGAGCGACAATGCGTATCAGCTAGGACAGATGGCCCAGCTAAATTTCCCTTTAAAGATTGATAATTGTTTAAGAAACAAAGATAAGTCTTAAGAGCATCCAGAAAGATGTCAGTACAACTCCATTAGAAATCAGTAGCCTATAGAGATGCAGATGGGGAAGATCTCAGTTTTGAATACTTTAACAAGATATGAAAAATTCAAGATAAAGTTTTGGCTTTGTAATGAGAATGCAATATTTTCTTAATGCATGAAAGGCTTCAGAACTTAGGAGTCTGTCATGAGAATTGTGGTTCACATGCATATTCCAATCGGTGGAGGTGTGAGCCTCAAGAGATATGAACTGATAACAGAGCACGTCGCATACTTTAATAACTAAAACTTGCACCGCTGAAGAACAATTTCTAGCTGATGTTAGAAAGCAAACCTGCTGCCGAAGAAAAAATTCCTTCTGTGTCTTTGACAACTGTCCCTCAACCTTTTGTGTAATCTTCTCTGCTACACGAATTGACTGTTTGAAGTAAAAAGTCATTAGCACAACTCATGACACCACAAAGCCTAGAAGGAATGGATAAGAAAAAATAAAAATAGATACACATGTCCATAGTTAAATTCATAGGTAACCTGCAAATGCCTGTCAACTAACTCAGTAGCTTTTGAAAGCCTAACTTTAACATCAACAGAATCTAGCATAGAGAGCTGCTCCTCAAAGCTCATCTCAAAGCTAGCAACAAAAATATCCGCCAATTTGTGCACCGGAACCGTCTCCAAAAGAACTTTTGTCCTCCCACTAGTTTTTTGTTTCTATGATAAGGAATAAACAATAAGACGCTGATGAGAATGACACTTTGAATAAATCACACTGTAAAAAATAAATTGATGTATATTATTGATTGATTGATATCTTACAAGATTGTGGATATTCTGTATATTACAATTCCTATATATAGAGGAGAAGATGGTAGTGGAGTGTGTGATAGTGGAGGTGGATGGTAGTGGAGTGTGTGATAGTGGAGGTGGTAGGTGTGGAGAAAGATAGTGGAGGTAGTAGGTGAGTGGTAAATTCTAACACACACAAAAACATAAGTACATAAAAATTTCAAATTAATCAAAATAATATCATGATGCTTCATTGGCATAATCACTGTCATCATCGTTATTGCGAAACAATGTTTCCCCATACCAAGTTATGGACTGTCAATGCAGTTCCTTTAGCAATCTCACAAATGGTAAGCCCGCACAATGGAAAGAAGTATTCCCAAGTAATATGTTAATCAAGTACAATGAGGTTTAATTTTAAGCAACCAATGGCATTATCAAGATTCTTAACTTCCAACTTAGGCAGACATTGCTTGTCCACGAAGTCGCACAATTTTCCAGAAGTCCAGCTAACTTAACATTCATATAATTGTTTCAATTTGACAACCACCAGTTCCAGAAATGGGACAATTGCATGGAAGGCTCTTTTTACAGCCATGGTAAAATTCTACAAAATCACACTGGATGGTAATTTGAAAACAGTATCTTTAGAAGAAAAAAAAAAAAACATAAAATAGAAAGATTTTCCACAACTGAAAAATTGACATATCAAAAGAAAGAATTTCAACCACAGAACTGGCTGGATTCCACTGTGAACTCAGTAGCACTGACCTTCGGAGGCAAAATTAATTCAGTAGACACAAAATAACCGCAAGAATTATTACTGTATTTCAAATTCAAAGGTTATATAAAATAAAGCTGAGCATTAGATGAGATATTATAAACTCAATAAAAAGCCACTTAAAATTAAATAAATAAATAAATAATTGACTTAGTAATTGTGCACTGAGTCTGAAACAGTGGTTGGTAAGAAAAATTTCAATTTGGAGCAGGACTATATTGCAAAACTTAACAAATATCCTAATGAAGAACATTTAGATCCATGTAAAACTAAATCCATTAACTGTCAAAACAGCGAACAGAAAACAAGCAGTTGGACCAACTAGAGAGAACCACACATGCCAAGAGAGAGAGAGTTTAAATGATGGTAGTAGCAAAGAGGTTTCCACAGGAGCCGGGGAGGGGGAAAGAATATTGTCCCACATTTTACCTGCTCAAGAAGGGAGATAAGCTCCATAGCAGTAGCTTTAAACTGGCGTGACAACACTATGAAATCTGGGTCTTGCTCAACTTGCTCCATCTCTAATTAGATTAGAAAAATTATAGCAAATCAGCATCTTGTCAGACCAGGACTTAAAGCTACTTCTATACATGCAACATGTCCTTAATAATATTTTTACAAGCACCACACTAATTTTAAAAAAGTCACAAGCCTGGTCCAGCAGAACATGGGCAAGGACAGGGAATTTTTTTTAGTAAATTCTTGATCCAGAGGATTTGACAGGCAGGAGTGCCTATGGTTTTTATCAGTGTGGATTGTCGCTCCTAAGGATTTTCCGCATATATCGTTGTGTCATTCTTGTTTTATTTATTATTATGATATTGTGTGGATGGAATATGCATGATTAATATATTGGAATTGGCAAACAGAATTGGAATGAATAATAGAATTGTTTAATCCACACCTTGGTAATTAGTTTCAAGTTTTTGGCCTATTCACCCCCCTCTAAGAACAATCGTGTGTGCCTCCACCTTTTGAGATTTATTAAATTTGAAATTTTCAATATAAATTTTATATTAGATCAAAAGAAAAATGGGGGGGGGGGGACTAAAAATATTTTTCACTCAGTATTTTCAGTCTTCAGTGATAAGTCAAGTCTCTCTGGCTTAAAATTACGAGCATTGTTCAGGTTTCTGTGGTAGATGATTATTCATTATCAAATGCATTTAATTGGAAAACCACTAAACGTGTGTGAAGTGCTTAACTGCATTGTCAAGCAGGCATCTAATCAAGTTTGTGTCTCATAGACCATCTTGGCAGGATTCAATGAACCAGAAACTTGAACACACCTACTCTGTGAAGAGCACATTCCACTTGTGTGTTAAAAGCAACATTAAACTATTAATTGTAACATCTTGACACTAAAAGTACTCAAATGCTATGTGCCACTTTCACCCAGAAATTAGAATATTCAATCTAACATCACTGCCTGTTGATTGAAAATGGCAATTAAGTGTGGACCAAATGTATCTCTAATAGAAAGATTGTAGGTGATGACTTACCAGATTTTGTCATATCAACAGGAGCAACCCGTGCAGTATAATACGTTCCTCTTGTGCTAAGCTCCTGTACACTGAATCTGCACAGACCTTCTAGGACAACTATGTATGTGACCCTTCCACTTGGTTTCTCCACTCCTCTTGACAAATGTAAAGCTCGAGCTGCAACTCCCCTGAAAGAGTAAATCTAGCATAATCCATCATGCATATTTAATAAACCAACATCTGAAAAAGACAGCACTAAGACAACATTAACCACATGCAGCCAAATGGAATGAAAAGCAACACCACAAACGATTAACCACATGCAGAAAAAAAAAAGGGGGGGAACAAATTTACTAGGTGCAGAAAATAAAATTTGGCTTTTACTGAATGCAAAACCAGACACCAAAAAGAATGCCCATCAGTTTATACCTGGTATGCCAATGAATGATTTCTTGCTGATTTTTCCCATCAAGCTTGTGAGGATCTGATGTACCAACTTGAATTTTCGAGCTTCCCTCCCCGGAATCAGTCCCTACACCTAGAACGACAATAAAATTTTGTTCCCTTTCTTAGATACCATCAAGTATGCATTGCAAACTCAAAACTTATTAATCAGTACTAATACGCAAAGTTAAATCATGATCACCTGGTGATAACATGGGACCCACTGATGTTGTCTCTGCAGCATCCCTAACTGGCAGAATCCCAATTAACCCCTTCTCTTCCCTCTGCCATAATTCTTGCTCCACCAGTTTCACACTGCATAAAGAACACTGTTTTACATGATTTTGAATCAAACAACAGATAAATACCGTAAGTTAATGAATCTATTTGTGTGTGTGTTTCAAGCAACTGTAGCATTAGGATAATCTGTAAGCTCCCACACACAGATCCTGATCAGCCAGCCAAAAAGATAAACACCCTGTTCCAGCTACAATGGATCCAAGAGAGACAGAAAGATATTGTATACCTGCACTCAACTTCAGAGGAATAAAAGAAATCTCTCTTTGCACCTAAAAACTCCACCCTATGGAAACAAGCCCACAGCCAAAAAGAAAACAATTTCGTTCGAGTTGTAAATTCACAAATAGGGTGGAAATCGAAAGGCACTTTATAAGTGGCTCTGATAAAGAATCATGCCTCCAGTCAATTCTACTTCATGTCTGACTAGATAAGTCACAAGGCATATCCTTCTTCAGGCCTAGGTTACCTAATCAAGGAGACCTCCCACAATTAAGACAAAGGAGATGCAGTTAACAAGTCACAGAACCGCAAAGTCAGCAATAGGAAAAAGCAAGTAAACCCCGAGCATATGCCGAGCATTGTAAGGTTGTAAGTGTTGAACATGGGTACTTGATTTATTTTGAAGAATCCATATACCAAGTTCTTCTTTTATACTCTTTGAGAGAGGTTTGTTAGGTCTACTTTGAGTGTGAGTGCTGAAATAGGTTCCTTTGGTAGCTCATACTGCTCAGGATGTTGAGTATAAGATCTTGCATATGCATCTTGTAAGTATACTTGATCTTTGGTACTAGTGGATGCATTCGGTTTGCGATTTTTTCCGCATTGGGTTTTCCCCGTTAAAATCTTGTCTCTCATGTGATTGCTCTTTATTTATTCTACTCATTTTAATTAGATAATTAAATTGGGACTTATTAAATCTTACACAGTGAAAAATTCATGTTTAGTTGATTAAATTGAAGAATTACCATAGGCTACTCGCGCACCCTCACTGAAAACTCATTTTTCAAAACCCACCTCATAAGTTCTCCCATTTTATCTTCAACCACGTCTAACTTTCCATGAATACATTCATTTCTTAGTCTATCTATACTCATTATTAAACATGTTTCTCAACCACCTAGCATCCTATGTCATTTAACATAATTGACCTCAAAATAGTCCTACAGAACTTTCCCTTTAAGTTTTTATGAGTGTATAAGTCTCCCAAAGCACTTTTTTAATTTCATCTATCCCACTCTGTATATGGGCCACAAACTCTTCAATCTCAACTTTCTTAAAATAAATCATCCATGTTTTTAAAAATGATCACTCTTAAGCATCTCCAAACCATCAAGTTTCACTTTATCCTCTTTTCTTCTTTATATGGCTTTTAAGGGCATTGTTGATAGAAAGATAAAGCTCTCCCATGTTTCTAACTTCTATAATGTTTCATTTTCAAGTTGTTTACTACATAGAATCTGGGTTTTGTTTCTAAATTCTAGTTTTTAGCACTATGAAAGTTTCAAACATTTGAGCTAGAATTGAATTGATCCATGATTGAGCTCCTCTTCGGACAAATTATGATTGGATTTCAATCTCCAATTCTGCTTGCCAATTAGACCCTAAAACCAAAAGGTATACCAGAACTAGCTAAACTTATTCTAGTTTTCCAATTAATCACCCAAACCAAGCAATTTCAATAAGGAATTAAAGCCAGATTACAATCCACTCAAGCTATCAGAAAAAGTCAGATTTTTTTTAGGGGAAAAACGGAGAGAAAATATTGGGCTTTCCAAGAAAAGTGGAGAGAAAGTGTACCTGCTGGGTGAGGTGCATCGAATCCGAATAATTGCACCAGGCAACAAAACCTTGTTCCTGAATGGAAGAATTGCTAGTCGACTCGGTAGCTCCACCGATTCCGCCATGGCTTCGCAACTCCGAGATCACAGAGAGAGAGAGAGAGCAATAGCTATGAAGATGAATTCTAGAGAGATAAACTGTATATGTATATTATATATATATATATATATATAATAGGAGAGAGAAAGAATAAGAAGAAGAAGGAGAGGTGCAAGTTCAGTCAGACGCAACTGAAGGTCGGCTTTGGTTTTTTCTATTTTCTCATTATCAAAATTATTTTATTGGGACATTTATACAAAATTCTTAATTTATAAGTTTATATCTTTTCAAATTCTAACTCAGATTTTTTAAGACTTTTAATTCTTATTAAATTTAGTCTTGAAGTAATGATTATTTCTTATTTATGATTAAATATAAAAATATATAATGATTTGACATTTTTTTAATTTTTAAAACTTTAAAATTTTAAAATTTTAACTTTCAAATTAAAAAAATTTTAAAAAAATTATATACAAAAAAACAAACTAATATTTTTATTTTGAAAAAATTGAATTATTTTTTTGTGCAAAAGTGAAAATTTTATGTCTATAAAAGAGTATGATGATAGAACATTAGTGTGCAAAATTTAAAAATAAAAAAATTGATAATTTTCTTGGCCTTATTGGATAGTTGAATCAAACCAATAAGTAGAATAGCAAAAACGTTTAACCCCATACTCTATTTTTTTATCAGTTAGTGAAATAATTATTTGGAATATTACTATACAAAATTGATAATATTCATAGTTTTAAGAATTAAGAAAAACTAATAATATTTTCAGTTTTATTAAATATGACTTATTTTATCAAAAAATCTTAAATAAGACCTGAGCTACTATAATATTTGTAAATATGACTTTTAGGTAATTAAGGCTTCGTTTGAGAATATGTTATTTTAGTAACTTTTTGACTTTTTAACTAAAATATGAAGTAAAAAAATTAATATATTTAGAATGATTTTTTGATTTTTTATGAAAGGATGTGCAAAAAGTATAGAGAAAATAAAATCTTTGATTTTTTGATATAGGGTATAAGTTTTTTGATTTTTTTAATAATTTTTTGACTTTTAAACTAAAACAAACACTTGCCAAACGAGGCCCAACCCTATTTTATTTTATTTTTTATATTTATTCGGTTCGATTAACTTAAAAAGTGGATTTTTTAAAAAAAAAAAAAAGAGCACCACGTGGTCTTTCATATTTCCCTAAATGCCCCTTTCGTTACCGGTATTCATCAACACACCACTTGTTAATCGTTGATATTGCAAAGTTTTGATTTGTCTAAAATTTGAAACAATACAATTAAAAGACGAATAATGCAATACAAATTTATAAATAAATAAAAACTCAATTATTAGATTGAAACCTTTTTTTTTTTTTTGCAGGACACATCGTTTAGTAAAAAATATTATAAAATTTATTAGTTTTATATCACTTTTTTAAAAAGACTTAGTGAAATTTTAAGTTTTAATAATATTATCCAAAAAGAAAAATGTAGAGAAACGTGCATATGAATTTTATTTGCGGCCAAAATTCATCCTATATGTAGTGAGGGACAACACCTAAAATAATATGGATCACATAATAAATTTTTTTATATTTCTATGATTTTTACATTATTGTCCAATTTTTTTAAAAAAAAAAATTGTTAATTTATTTTTTAATCAATTAGTACAATATTATTTATAAGTATGAGAAAGCACAAATGGCCTATAGAGTATTTTGCAAATGATATAGATTTTTAGAACCAATATATATATATATATATATAAGGTCACAAAGCATAAATAGTATTTAGTTAAAGTTTTGTACGAATCAAGATTAAAATATAAAAGTAGAGCCTTAAAATTTAGTTTGTAAAAAAATAAAGCCAACATTGTGCCGTTTTGGAAGGGCCATAAAAAGCCACGTTTTTTATCATTTTTCAAAAACGCAAGTGGCCAAAAACGCAACACATTTGGTTTGAGAAGGGCAAAAAACGCAGGTGTGAAATTACAAATTAAGCCCTATAACAAAAAAATAAAAATAAAAAAATTTCTTATATTGGGTAATGATATTTTAGTCATTTTAATTTGATTTGACACCATAAATAAATATTAAAATAAAAAGCAAAAAGTTAACTTTTTACCAATTTCCCAAATCACTTTTCAAAAAGCTAAAAAGCTTAGTAAAAAGTAAAAATTCAACTTTTTACCAACTTCCCAACATACCCTTATTGACTTCAAACACATTTGATCACTTATTTATATAATCATTCAAATAATTTGAATACTTATAATTTAATATATATAATTAATATTGTAATGCATTAGACGGGGTTGGTATAAAATATATGACTATATTTATTATTACCCTTTACCAAATGCTATATAAAATTAATTAATTATTAATCTTGAATGAAACGTGTCAAATAAAATATTGAAAATGTCTCTCTCTCTCTACTATTGTATGTATAATTTATTTAGAGGGTGTTAGGGATGCAAATTTTTGGCTAAAATAGTCAATAAAAATAAAAAAATATTAAAATAGTCAATAAGATAAAATATCATATATTCAAGTCATAATAAATTATTTTTTCTCTCACAATTATTAAATCAATTATAAAAAGAAAAAAAAAACTAAAAATCATTCAAAACATAATTTTTTTAGCCAGACTCAAATAGCAAAAAAATCAATTAAAATAGCCATATTGCCAAACAAGCCCTTAATTTATTTATAATCAAAGACATAAATTCTAATAATTGACTTTATTAATTAAAAGATTAAATTATTTAGTTAGAAATGCAAGCCATAACAAGAGGGCGGAGGAACCAAAAAATATTTAGTATTTTAGCTGACAAAGAAAACTTTTGAATAGTGATGTGATTCTATTTTTTACTATAGATTAAGACTATATAAATAAATAAATAGTTGGAATTCAAGTATAAAGAATTACATAGAGTGGACTAATTTTTTTTCCTGCTAAAAATATAAGAATATATAATTGACAAGTAAGAAATGAATAACAGAATCAAACAAAATGTATATAAATTAAATCAAACCAAACCAAACCTTAAGTCCAATCGAACAAAATATATATAGATGGAAAAAAAAATAAAAGTTGGTACAAATTTTGAAGAAAAAAAATCCTAACAATTCATATGCATTTTGTGTTGCATTATGTGTTTAGTTTATGTATTCGTAGCAAAATTGTTATTAATTTTATTTGATTTTAGTTTTTTTTTATATATTTTAATTTAAAGGAACACTTTGAAGAGAACTTTAAATAAATGAGGTGACATATGGAAATAGTTGAAAATTGAAGCCCGTAATGCGAATTTGCAAGAAAACCCCTCGATGATAGAGAGTGAAAGAATTCCTACGCGTCAGCGGGTGGCCAGCGTCCGCTGCGAGTGCGTGCAGGTAAGTACGGTGGGACCCACTAATTTAATGCCACGTGGCACTGAATGACGAGGATAGCATGGTCATAAGATGGATATGATTTGGTTGTACTTTTAATTGTCACCCTACAAAAAACAGTGAGTCATTCACCTTTCACTTTGGATTGGACGTGTGGTGGGGTGGGATTTGGGAAGCTCGCACAAATTCTATAAGATTTTGGGGAAAAAAAAAAAAAAAAAAAGCCTAGGTTAGGAACAGACTAATTTAGTAATTTTTTAATTATTTAATTAAAATATAAGTTAATAAAAATTAATATATTTAGAATGACTTTTTACGAAAAGATATGTAAAAAGTAGAGTAAAAAGAAAATTTTTGACTTTTTGTTATAAGTTATTAACTTTTTAATTTTTTTAATAATTTTTTGACTTTTAAACCAAAAGAGACAATTCCCAAACGAGGTCTAAGTTGGCTAGCTACGATTTTGGGTGTTTTGGTAACTTAGTTTTTAGTTACTTTTTTAGGTTTGTAATAAAAATTAAAAGTTAATTTTTTTGTATTTAAGGACATTTGGAAAATTGGTTTTCAACCACTAATGAAATTATAATTCTACCTCTCATAGGTCAAAATGTGCTATATGAGTGAAGTTGTAAATATTTTAAATTGAATTGGAGTAGTTTGATTATTTTATTATGATTTGATATCATAAATAAATATTAATAAAGAAAATCAAAAGTAACTTTTTGTCAACTTCTTAAATCATTTGTTTAAAGAAACCAAAAACGTGATTAAAAGTTAAAAAATTATTTTTTACCATCTTTTTAAAATAGGCCTTTATTTTTATTATTATGAGATTAATAATTGGGATCATCTATAGAGTGCGAGTTATAAAATAAAAAAAAGTATGAAAATAGTGTTGCGAAAAAGTATGAAAATAATAATGTTGTGAAGTGGAGATGAGCCCTTTAACATCTTGAAGAATCATAAATAACGATTGTGCATTGGTCACAACATAAAGTCATAAAATAAAATAAGGTAAATTATACTGATATTTTTTAAAATATTTGTTTAAGGAATTACATTTACCTCTTTGTCAAATTAAAATGACAAGTTTATCTCTTAATTTTTATATATAAAATAATAAAATAATATAGATATTTTATTCATATTATTTCAAGAGAAATAAAAATTCAATTTTTTTTATTTTATTTTTTTTATTTTTACTGAATTTTTTAAATATTTTAAGCATTTTTTTTTAATTTTTTAGATACACCTAATCTAGATATACTTAAGAAGTATAATATTTTGTATTTTTTTAAAATTTACCAAATACAAAAAAATACAAAAAATTTAATACATTATCTTATTTTGTTGTATTCAATAAATTTTTTTTAAAAGCTTTTTGTACAAATTTTATACTTTTTAAATATATTTAGATTAAATTGATTTAATCCATATATAATGATGGAAATAAAAATGAAAAATTATATTTATATATAAAAATTTATAAAAAAAAATATCATAAAAATGGCAACATGGTCATTTTAAAAATTTTAGGGTGACATTAGCAATACAAGGCAATTTTTTAAATATGAGAGGAGACCTGTATTAAATAGAAATTTCATGGAGTGTTAGTATAATTTATCCAATAAAATATGAAAAAATATAAAAAATAGTGTTGTGGGGGTGGAGATGAGCCATTTAACCTTTTGAAAAATCATAAATAATAATTCTATATTGATTTTCTTGTGGAGATTGGATATGTAGGTCTCGTTG